AAGGGGACACAGCAAGATACAGCGGAGTGAAGCAACATGAACTAAACACATGGGCCAGGGGCAGAAATTGGAATACACTGAAAGAATGGATGGTTTGTTGTCCGTTCGGGACAAGGGGACACAGCAAGATACAGTGGGGGGAACTGCGGGGAAGAGGGCGGAGAAGCGGGGTATCCAGCGGAACAGGGGCGCAAGGCATGTGAAAACATGCGCGCCAGGGGCTGGAGGTGGACACGGAAACGTAAAGGCCAGTTCTTCAACGCGAAAATAACGATGAAAGCGGCACGGCACGCTAAAGACAACTGGATCAACAAGGGATTGAAACAAAAAAGGGCCACGCGCGTCTGACCGCTTCGCGCGTGGGCCCATTTCCCCAAATCTCCATTTCGTCAATTGATAGGCCGCTAATATCGTGGGGTTCCATTTTTTCTCCAATTTTGCACGGTAATTCGCAAAAAGATTGAGAATTTGTGGTAACCTCCAGAGGTTACCGCAAATTTCCTTCCCCCGCGGCTTCGCAGGCCGCTGACAAATGGTCACCCCTTTTGAGAATTTGGCCAGATGTTCACCATGTGTGACTGTTCGGGAACCCTTTTTTTGGGGGGAAATGGGGATTTGGTACCTAGTGTGAGCGTGCCCTGAGGCAGCGAGGGTCCGGAGGGCAGTGCCAACGGCGCCCTGCCGCAGTGGCTGCCACGTGACAGGGACAGCCCTGCCCCTGCCCTGCGTTCTCCTTCTCCTTCTCCTTCTCCTTCTCCTTCTAAATGTGGAAAATGAGACTGAATGCACCACCAGAATATGGAAAGATACATTGCCATCTTTATTGACTTTGCATGTGGAGAATAGTGCCCGAGGCCCTATAAATAGATTAGCGGGTTACCTCGCTCCCCTATTCTCTACCTTCACAAACGACAAAACTCATGGTGGTGTATCTTTCCCATGTTCTAGCGGAAGATGCACTCTCGTTTTGCAAATTTGCACATTTCGAGAGTCCTGGATCGAGGCCCAGTGACTCCACCTCTTGACTCTTGACTCGACCATTCGGTCTCTTGACTCTCTTCCGAACAGTGATGATGGAAGCCGATGGGCGATGGAGTTATGAGGAAAGGCCGACGTGGCATCTCTTGGAGATCGTTGATATTGGATGGACTCCACGGCGGGGCGGGGCAGGACTCTTGTTTTTTTTTTGTTTTTGTTTTTTTTAAAGAAAAGCCAGAGCAGCGTCACTGGCCATTGAAAGGGAAAGGGAAAGGGAAAACTGCCCGGCAAGACAGATCCAGCGTGAGATGGAGCAAGACAAAGATACACCAATGTAAAACCACTCCGATGCGCACACAAAAGTAGTAACACAACTGAGAACAGCAAATCACGATCCACAGACCACGCGGCCAACCTCGACGCGTTTCGTCTATCCCGCACATAGACTCTTCAGGAGGACAGATCAGAAGATGCTGTCGCACTACCGATAGGGGCCATACCCATGCCTTGCCCCTATATATAGCTATCCTACACCTACTCTACCCATCGTCCTTACACCAGCAAAACCGAGAGCAGAAAAAATGCGAGACCGCCGGAACATGAGAAATCGTCGAGGAAAGAGATAATCAGTCACCATAGTAGTCGTAGATGCCCCGAGAACCGTCGTCAGAGGAGAGCATGTTCTCGCCATACTACTAACTCCCAGCGGAAAGAGATACCTGCCACACAAAAAAGACAGCAGATCAAACACAGCACAGCACAACCAGAGCACAAACACGTAACACTTGAAGTCGTCGTCCGATCGGAGAAGCACCTCGCCGGATGGCGCAAGAGTGGCAGGCGGGCGTGCAGTGCAGAACACCGCTGGAGGGGCACACAAGTGTCCTGATACCAGCAACGCCCATATCAGCAACGCCCAGAGTGTCACCCTTGTTCGCGCTACAACCGTCAGCGCACGTTCTCGATGAAGATGAAAGGAGAAGCACAGGCGACTAGCTGCGTATATATTGTATCTGTGCCACAAGGTCCCGCGCCGCAGCTCAATAAGAAGCCTAGGTGTACCAAAAACCGTCCCCTGGCGGATCAGTGTCAGGGGACYGAGTTACAGGTCGAAACCGTTCATGCGCGGGAGAGCCAAACCCCAACCAGTACAGTCTAACTCCAGAGTCCCAAACCGTACGATCGGAAAGCCTCCCTGCTGAACGATGTAGCAAAACGAGGTCAGGTACCGGAACGGAAAGAAAAGTGACAAAATCCTGCCAGTACAAGCCAACCTTCGGCAGACCTATCCCGAATTCTCGCGAAAGGAAAAACCACCCTTCCATACAGCGGCCAAAAAAAGGAAAAAAACAAAGGAGGCTTACCAAAGTCGGGCCAGCACACCACCCGAAATGCTGGCCATAAAAGGCATAGTGTACAGGGCCTTAGAGGCCTGTTTGGCAAACATGCCAAACCCCAATCCACAACTCATACACAAGCAGCTATCACTTCAGCAATCGAACCCCCAAATTTGGCACCGAAACGTCGAAATGACGAGATCACCAAACGCCGTGGGTAACCTCGGCGGAACAGTTCATGCTTTACTACCTACAGAATCTCATGTTGTCCCCAAGTATCAGAAGTAAGGCGAAACACCCGGTGCAGAGTACTGATAATCGCCCCGATTTTTGCTTTTCTTACTGGAGTAAGAGCAAAAATCTTGAAAACATCCAAAGGTCAGATCACCGAACTCCCAAACCGATGTTGCATTCTTAAGGATAGCAACTGTCCTCACATTCACCCCATGCCTATGGATAGTTACTCCCGCAAAGATCCAGCA